CAGCAGGAAAGTAAACAAGAGAAAGTCCGTGTCTACCCTACCTGAAGAAGAACGGAGATCTAACCGCTGTACCTTATTTCGCAGTATTAGAGCTGTTGGGCATAAGGGATGTCAGAAAATGAGCTTAAAGGCAAATATACTCAAGCACCTTCTATCCAGTGATGCCATAAGCTATAGTAACATTTATTTAGATAAATTTTGAAAAATGAAACTCATCTAATTTGGGGAGTTCTAACGGTCCACTTTGCTTCCCCCTTTTAGGCGTTAGAGTCTGTTTTCTGTTGCACAGGGCCAGAGTGGCTGTTTGATTTGGAGAGTCAGATTCTATGCTTCCAGGAGAACACAAATTCTGAGAAATGGGATGCTTTTTGATAAACAGTGCAGAATTTAAGGTGTTTTTTTCACACATTCATCACAAATACCATGAACAACTTGTTGAAATAGAGGAAGAAACCAAGCTTTATAGTAGGAAGGCTGGACCCGAGTCCCAGCCCCACTCCTTCTACCAATACCAGACAGTCCTTAGCCTTCCCGATGATGTTTTCTCACCTTCAAAATAGAGTTGGTGGTAATGCTCACTGCGGAATTGTGAGCCCAAAATAAGGTAACTGATCAAACCAAATCCTCCTCCTTCCTTTGTTTTGGTATCCATGGGAAGTTCCCCAAAGGCTCTGAAACGTTCTTTGATTTCTTCTTCGGAAGTATCTGGGCTCAGTCTACTCGCTAGAACTTTTTTCGGAGGTTCTTTCCCTTTTAAAGCTTTGGCCCTGCAGGGAGAAGATTTTGTTTGATCACATATACAGATGAAGAGCTAGTAAAGAAATTACCAGAGGGACCAGCAGTTAGCGTAATGGCTATGTCACTGGACTCCCATGTAGTGGACTGCGGTTTGAGTCCCGGACCTGGTGGCTTAAACTCACGCCAGGCCCACGTGTGTGCGTGCCCAAGATCCCGAGAGGAGAATGGAGGAGAAGGGATTGTGGCGTGGCCATCCCCTCTGGGGGATGATTTCTCACTTTCTATCTCTCTGTTTCTCTGTGTCTGGTGAGTGCACGCACCCTATAGCAAAAACCTCTCCAAAAAAATAAAAAAAGAAAAGAAAAAGAAATTACTAGAAAGGATATACCAGCAAATTAGTTCTGAGAAGTGTGGAATCAAGGTTGCGCAACCCAAAGAGGTCTATAGGCAACAGCAACAACAACAAAAAGGGAGAAGAGGTGGTTCTAGGGGTCATGGCTGAGGTCAGGGCCAGAACTACAACCAAGGATTTAATAACTATTATGTTCAAGGATATAGAAATTGCAATAGTGCCTAAGGTGGTGATCGAAACCATAGTGGCTGTGTGGTTATGATCATATTGGGCAGAACTGTGCGAACTATGGATATGGACAGGGGTATGCAGACTGCAGTGGCCAACAGAGCACTATGGCAAGGCATTCGCTAGGGGCGACTGTCACCAACACAATTACCAACCATATTAAAGGAGGACATGAGAGAAAACAGGAGATATTATAGTAACCCATCTTGCAGGATGACGTTGAAGATTGATCTTCTGTTGACCTAAGTGATTATTCTGTAAAAAACCTCATAGTGTACAAGATACAACTGTGTCCAACTATGTAGCCACCAATTAGTTTTGTTTTACTTTGTCCTTTGCTATCTGTGTTATGACTAAATGTGGATTTTGTGTTTATACAAATTTTATTTGTATGATTTCATGTTAAACTGCAAATAAGTGCTTCCTTATGTGACAAAAAGATAACTGATACATAAAGTTTTTATAAGCTGCTAAGTGACTATGTAAAAATTAGTAGTTAATATCATTTTAATTCACTTAAGAGGATCAAGGTGGTCTTCCCACTCTTATTCACAAGGGGGCCAGAGATCTGTGATTTTTTTTAACAATTATTTATTTAATTTTATTTATTCATTCATTTATTTTAATTTGACCAGAGAGAGACAGAGAGGGATAGAGAAAAAATGAGAAAGCGAGCCACACCAGGTCCAGAACTTGAGCTGTGGTCGGCCATGTGGGAGTGCCCAGCTCCTTAACCACCATGCCACCTGCTGGTCCCGAGATCTGTGATTTTGATGGCTCTTTTATATTTGTACCTATTTACATATAAACTATGTGTTTTCGTATGAAAATTTTCATTGACACTTAGTTCTTTGGCAGTCCAATGCAGGCTGAATATAAAATGGACAGTCCAATGAAATTGTATTTTTTAGTAAACTGTAGAAAAGAGCAGAGAGTAAGGGAGACTGTGGAGGGTGCAAGCTGGATGGGGGTGGGCTGATAAGTCCCTGCCCTTATGGGTATCAACTGTGTCCTGGAGCCCTTCCCTATAAAATGGAAAGATAATTTACAGGGACTACATAGACTTTTTGAGCCTTAAATGAAATAATACATATGTAGAACTATGTAGCTTAAATGTAATTTCAGGCCTCAACAAAGTTAACTGTGTTTATTATTGCTATTATCAGAAACTCAGAGTTCTTATAACAAACCCCCCTATAATGAAATGAAAGGTAAGGCCGTTTTATGCTAACTTGTGTCATGGTGCGTCCTAGAGCATGCCACCAGTTCAATGGCTCAGTTATTGGAAATGTAACTATTTTTGGTTATTTTTAGGTTCAGAAGGTAACTCCAAGCAAATTTGATTTGATTTGATCATTTTTTTCCTTTCTTTATAGGTTAATAGGCAAGTTCACTGATTTTAAAACTAATTCATTAATTTTCACATTTCTAGTAAGATGGTTTCCCTCTCCCCTTCTTCCTACTCCTCTCCCTCCCCCTACACTGTTTCTTTTCTTGGCTTTGCTCACCCCATCTCTCTTTCTCTCTCTCGCTCTGTGTATCTCCCTCACCTCTCTATCTTTCTTTCTGTGGGAATCTGTCCTGGGCCTGGCTAGAGCACAAATGTGCATCACAGTCCCTTTCCACAGCCCAAGGGGGTGATAAGGTGGACAAGCAAAGGTAGGATGTAGTGAAAATCTGGAGAACCCTGAGAGTATAGAGGAGAGATCACCCAGAGAAGTGGAGAGGCTCCCAGAATGTGGACTTAGAGCTGGATCCTGAAGGCCAGTTGGGATCTAACCCATGTGAAGACTTAAGGAGAGGCAACTACAATATTCCCTCCTCCTTGCCTTTCACAGGGTCAGCTCAGCTGTTCTTCACAACAAAAACAGGTGTGATGGTGGAGACAATTCCTGACTCAGACCTGTGTCATATTGTTCTTGATTCCTTCATCATCCTTCTGTTTTCTTGAGGTTTACCAGATATCCCAGGGGTTTTATGCTTAGCATTTACCCATTCAGATTGTAACTATTGTTATTAACACATCAGCCTCAGAGGAACAGTGTGTTATCTGTTCTTCAAGACAGTGCTGCTTCTTCTAGTTTTATTCTGTGATGAAATGACAGTGAGCTGCAAAGGAAGCAATTTCAATTTGAATCATGCAATATGGTACCTCCTTCAGTCTCATCCATGTTAACATTTGGCAGTCACCTTTGGACACATTCGGTCCATACATTTGGTCTTTTTCATTCATTTGTCAGACTTATGAAATGGGTCACATTGTTCCACATGGATAGAGAGATGGAGGAACGATAAAACATGGTTCCCTTCCTTCAAGAGAATCTGTGAAAACTAAGCGAATAACGCAGAAAATCATTAGGAGCACAAGAAAGAGACAGTTAAAACCTTTTGGAGTTAGTCTAGTGACTATATATATATATATATATATGTATATATATATATATATAAACTTCTGATGGGAGGGAATTAAAAGAGTCTGTTCTGGAAGAGTTGGGATTGGAATCAATGCTGGAAAGATGGGGTAGTTTAACTGACTTTGTCCTCAACCTCAGAGATCCACCAGAATCCTGAGAAAGCGTGTTTATTGTTTTCTCTGTGAAATTTTGCATCTGCCTGTAGCCCCATGGGTGGGAGGTTATTGAAGAAAGTAGCTGTTATCCGAGAATGTGTCTTTTGTCTCTTGAACTTTGTTATATGTGTCAGTGCCTCATATTCATATGCAGATTCTCCAATAAATGATGATAAGCTTTTCCCCCTCAAGATTCTATGTCTACTATCTTTCAAAGGCATGTAATTCTGTCTAGTATGCTCACTTACTCCAGACCTGTACAGAATGATATCATAATAATATTTGCAGGTTTAATTTTAACTTGATATTATCTCTTAACTTCACGGGGCTTTTGGTGTCTGTTTCCTCAGGATGAATTCCAAACTTACTCTCGGAAAAAGGTAATATGGATCTACCTGTCAGCATTAAACAGCGCATTTGGTCTTACTCCTGACCATCCTCTCATTACAGATGAGGACTTTATCATAAACAGAGCCATCAGAAAGCCAGACCTAAAGGTAAGTTAATTGATGGCTACTGCTGATGCCAAAGGATTTTAATCTTTTCCTCCCTCAAACATACGCCTAAATTCTGGTCCTCCGCTGTGCCAGTCTTCAACTCACATTGTACACTGTTGTAGAGATCGTGACCTTTGTAGCCAGAGAGAGCTCATTTCCGAGCCCAGCTTCATCCTTCTAGACAATACAACCTTGGATCAATTACTTAACTCCATTGAGCCTCATTTTTCTCACCTACAAAGTAATGATAAGCATGCCTCTATCATTAATTGCTGACATTCAATAAATTAAGGAATACAAAGATCAGTATAGTGCCAGGTATATCATAGATACACAGTACATGTTAGCTCCTTTTAAAAAATGTATTTTATTTTATTTTATACATTACATTCAATCACCATACATCACTTTGCTTGTAAAGTGAATTTTCCCACATGAATACTAGTCCAGTTAGGGATACAATACATGTTATCATCAATAGATAATAATACATTTCTGTGTCCCAAAAATGTCTTGCCTCTCTATTTTTCTCCTTAATGTATTTTCTCAGATTCTTAATAATTTCATGTCCTGCATCTGTATAACAGGATTAATTGTAAAGTGAAGTTTAAAACCTTTTGGAGTTAGTCTAGTGACTATATATATATATATATATATGTATATATATATATATATAAACTTCTGGTGGGAGGGAATTAAAAGAGTCTGTTCTGGAAGAGTTGGGATTGGAATCAATGCTGGAAAGATGGGGTAGTTTAACTGACTTTGTCCTCAACCTCAGAGATCCACCAGAATCCTGAGAAAGCGTGTTTATTGTTTTCTCTGTGAAATTTTGCATCTGCCTGTAGCCCCATGGGTGGGAGGTTATTGAAGAAAGTAGCTGTTATCCGAGAATGTGTCTTTTGTCTCTTGAACTTTGTTATATGTGTCAGTGCCTCATATTCATATGCAGATTCTCCAATAAATGATGATAAGCTTTTCCCCCTCAAGATTCTATGTCTACTATCTTTCAAAGGCATGTAATTCTGTCTAGTATGCTCACTTACTCCAGACCTGTACAGAATGATATCATAATAATATTTGCAGGTTTAATTTTAACTTGATATTATCTCTTAACTTCACGGGGCTTTTGGTGTCTGTTTCCTCAGGATGAATTCCAAACTTACTCTCGGAAAAAGGTAATATGGATCTACCTGTCAGCATTAAACAGCGCATTTGGTCTTACTCCTGACCATCCTCTCATTACAGATGAGGACTTTATCATAAACAGAGCCATCAGAAAGCCAGACCTAAAGGTAAGTTAATTGATGGCTACTGCTGATGCCAAAGGATTTTAATCTTTTCCTCCCTCAAACATACGCCTAAATTCTGGTCCTCCGCTGTGCCAGTCTTCAACTCACATTGTACACTGTTGTAGAGATCGTGACCTTTGTAGCCAGAGAGAGCTCATTTCCGAGCCCAGCTTCATCCTTCTAGACAATACAACCTTGGATCAATTACTTAACTCCATTGAGCCTCATTTTTCTCACCTACAAAGTAATGATAAGCATGCCTCTATCATTAATTGCTGACATTCAATAAATTAAGGAATACAAAGATCAGTATAGTGCCAGGTATATCATAGATACACAGTACATGTTAGCTCCTTTTAAAAAATGTATTTTATTTTATTTTATACATTACATTCAATCACCATACATCACTTTGCTTGTAAAGTGAATTTTCCCACATGAATACTAGTCCAGTTAGGGATACAATACATGTTATCATCAATAGATAATAATACATTTCTGTGTCCCAAAAATGTCTTGCCTCTCTATTTTTCTCCTTAATGTATTTTCTCAGATTCTTAATAATTTCATGTCCTGCATCTGTATAACAGGATTAATTGTAAAGTGAAGATAATCACCCAGGAAAATCCCAGGAAGTTTGTGTCTTCTGTAAAACGTCTTATGTTTAATTCTGTCATTCAAAGGTTTTTGGGTTACTCCCTCCTCTCCATAGTAAATCAGTACTACTTGGATTGTGTCTATTAACAGTTGTATTAAATTTTATAAGACATTTTATAAGACAGAATGTTTTCCATTTCGTTTATGTATGTTTAGACAGTTGTTTAAATTAGTTTTATGAACTCAAGTTCAATGGTTTTTTAAATAATATAAGTCAATAGTTGAGCAGATTCTCTATTGTCAATTGTTTTCACCAGTGGTCGTAACTGCCAAAATCAATAAAAGAGGTGACTACCTTCAGCTAAGATTGCTTAATCTGTTACGTGGCCATTCCCTTGGAGAACTAGGTTTCTCAAATCAGCCTTATGGATGTATTCTCAGAACTTTATTATCCTGAAAATTTGGCCTCATTAATTGCAGTACAAATAAAGAAATGGTCAAATAAACAAATAGAAGGTGGAGAAGAGGCAAAGGTCTAAAGATAGAAAGTTGTTGTTATTATTATTTAAAATTCATAATAGAAAGTGCATGTATGTGGGACCAGCAATTGGCATAATACTTAGGTCACTAGACTCTTCCATAGTCAACTGCGGTTTGAGTCTTGGACCTGGCAACTTAAAACTCATGCCAGGCTTGTGTGCATGTGTGCCCAAAGTGCTGAGAGGAGAGTGGAGGAGAAGGGATTGTGGTGCGATCATCCCCGGGGAGGTGATTTCTCACTCTTCACCTCTCTGTCTCTCTGGTGAGTGCCTGCTCCCTATGGAAAAAAAGTTTTAAAATAACAAATAGTGCGGGACCAGCAGTTGGCATAATGGCTGTGTCGCTGGGCTCCCATGTGGTCGACCGCGGTTCACGTCCCGGACCTGGTGACTTAAAACTCACGCCGGGCACATGTGCGTGTGTGTCCAAGATCCCGAGAGGAGAGTGGAGGAGAAGGGATTGTGGTGCGATCATCCCCGGGGAGGTGATTTCTCACTCTTCACCTCTCTGTCTCTCTCTGTCTTTCTGGCAAGCACACGTACCCTATAGCGAAAAAAAAAAAAGAAAACCTCTTAAAAAAAATAACAAAGACTGCATGCATGTGCAGGAGAAAAAGAAAGAGGTGTTGTGTTGTCATGCTGTCCCCAGACCTCCATTTTGTCAGGATCATGAGCACTAAATCTCATGATCAATGTGTTTTCAGATTGACCAGGGGATCCAAACTCATGGTCACCCACGTGGCTTCCAGTACTGTAGTCCACACTGCAGTCCAGTGTGCTAAACTGCATTACCTAGGCCTTGAAACAGAAAGTTTTGAAATCCAGGCTTCATATCTTAATTTACCAGTTTATGACATAGAGAGTTTGTCTAGTTACTGCCTCTTCGCGTCTCGAGTTTCTTATTTATAAAGTGAGCATAGTAACCCCTTCAATGACTGTTTCCTGGGGCTGTTGTGAGGCTATAATGAGAAGATGGATATTAAGGTGATTTGTGAACCATAGTGAGCTATGTTCGTTATGAGGGCTGAAACTTTAGTTAAAGTTAGAGCAGATGTCATGTGCATAGCCATGATGGTATGGATGGCAAGCCAATATTAACCATGCCAACCGAGAACCATTTAAGACCAGTTACAGGGAGTTTGGAGACTGAGGGAAAGAATTATGTCAGGTTTGCAAATATAGTCTAAAAGAAGACTCTAAGGACGATCTTATGGGGATTCATGCAAAACGAGTGCTTACCCTGTAAGACAGGAGGCTTTTACACATGTGTCAACAAGAAATGCAAAGTGGCAGCTTGGGGAGAGGAAATCTTCCTGATTTCTGAGCAGAAAGATGAAGTTTTCCCCATGGTAGATACTTAGTTTCCTAATTACGATTTCCTGGTTTTAAGTTCCAGGAAATGGCATATGTAATCCACCCCTTGCAAATAATACACTTAACATGCTCTTACCAGCTTCCAGAGGCTCCGAGGGGATGAGGGGAGCCGGTAAACCCAAGCAGAGATGTTTCCTGCTGGGGGACCCTAAAAGATGCTTAAAAGCTCCATGATGGAATTTGCCTTCTCATTCTGTGAGGAATGGCCTCAGAAAGTATCAGAAGATAATGGAACTTTCCACTTTCTGGCCTGAGATAACCTCTCACTCCTTATTAGCACTGTCTTCATCTACAGATGATTTGTGTCTATTATGTTTTATAAATTTCTCAATCTCGGTGGTTTCACAGCCTCTCGATATAACTTTAAACCTTCTACCACATTCTACAGTTTCTTGCAAAGATTACTTTATGTGAGTTTCTGAAATTAATAAGGCAGGCAACCCTCATTTTATACACCTTGAATACTGAAGTTTAGGGGGTTTTAAAGTTTCTTTTGAGATTAGTTTGAATATTATATTCTCCAAGAGACTAGACTTTGAAACGAGATGGACTGGAATTAAAATTCCAGTCTCGTGGGTCAGTAGGTGGTGTGGTGGTTGAGGTGTTGGATCCCATGTGACAGATTCTGCAGTTTGAGGTCTGGACCTGTCAGTCTGAAAAAACATGCCCCTGCCTGGCACATGTGCGTGCATGCCCAAATTTCCAAGAGGAGAATGGAGGAGCAGCATGGCCATCTTGCCCTGGAGGATGATTTTTCATTTTCCTTCTCTCTCTGTCTCTGCCTCTCTGCAGCAAGCACAAGTGT